GGTCATTGGAGCAAACGGGTTCTTGAACTGGGAGCATTTGGTCCTCTGGGAGTAGCTGGGAAAGAGCTTGTGCCTCAGAGCCAGAAATGTGGAGAACTACCCCAGCCAATTGACTGGGGAGAAGGGAGGGAGCAGCCACACCATTTAATTAAAGGGAGGATGGGCCTAACAGTCATAAAGAGGAGGGGATGTGCCAAGGTGCTTCCTTTTGGCTGCCACAGCCTGTGGACAAAGGCAGACACGGGGCCACGATGAAGTCTCCCGAGGACCAGTGTGCTTGTAAGTCTCCTGTCTTTACTCCTTGCTGGAGCATGGACTGGTCTGCTGGGTTTGCCAGGATCCCCTTAAGTGTGCCTTCTTCCTCACTTACTAGAGCCCGAAAGGGGGAGGTGGGGCTCCTTTGTCCCAGCACAACTGTTGTGTTTGTGTGCCTTGTTGTCTGAATCCACTCTTGGATCAACTTTCTCTCTAGTTTTGGAGAGGAAAGCAGCCGTGAGTCTGGAGATGGTTTTGCTGCAGGGTTGTCTGTGCAGCAGCTCTCTGACGTGGCTTTTGTTCCCCTGTCTGGCAAGCGTGGCCTGGGAAATGGGAAAGGCGCGGAAAAGGCAAGCAGGGCTCCCGGGAAATGCAAGCTCAGCCTTTGGAGATCGAGTTGGGGCTGTCTGGAAAACTCCATTTTGAGGAAGCCTCTGCTCATCTCTGCTGGACCAGTGCAGGCCAGAGACAGGAGGTTCACTGGAAAACTTTATTTTACCTTAATTGAGCAATCCTGGAAGCCACCAGCCTGTGCCATGATAGTTGGGCGGTAGGTCATTTTTCATTTGACTGGATAAGTGGTCAATTACTGGCAACAAAGAAGGGTTGTTGATAAAGCTTGTCTGCTTCCTGGTGTTCTTTATCCTAGAAGCTGCCCAGAGTCGCTTTGGGTAGGGGGATGACGGGATATAAATTTAATAAGTAAATAAAAGGGCTTTCCAGACAGCTGATTGACCGGAATTCACCGATTTTTTTGAATGTGGCAAAATTGGAGGCCCACTGATGAGGTTTTGTTTCAGACACTTGAGAAGTTTGAAACAGCTCCTTTTGTCGGAGCCTGTTGAGAACAGATGACATTGTGTGAAGTAAACCCATTTTCCCCTTGGCTTAATGTGCGTCCTGTTTTTCCAGAGGTGGAATCTGACTTTGCTTTGGATGCTGGTGAATGTTCATTTACTGGCGCTGTGCACGCGTGTTTACTGTTGATTGGCCTCTTCATTTAGGAGGATCAGGCCTGCAGAGTCGAGCATTTTAGGGGTGTTGGTTGCTGCTTCTACCGTACAGATCAGCAACCAAAGAATGTGAGCTTCTGATGATCCTGTGGGGCTAGAGGTGGTTCTGGGGTCCTCAGTGGCAAATCTACCACAGATCATGAACATCGGTCATTTCACTCCTGCTGTATAAAACGTTTTGTCCAGAAAAAGCCAGAGTCTGGAAACCTTCTATTTTCTTGCTCCTCTTCCAAAATCACCTCCTCCCTCTTGTAGTGAAAAGATCGGTCTTCTCGGCTTGCCTGGAAAGTTTATGGGCAGAGTCCAAACACAGAAGACCTCTCGAGAGCCTGTCTCTTCCTATGGATTCCATACAGAGGCTCTGATTATTTCCCAAACGCTGTTAGTGATGGAGACCGAGCAGGGAGAAGAACATCTGGGTCTGCCCTCTGAGGGAGCAAGAGGACCAGGGCACGTGAAATTATGGGCCTGCTAATAAAATGCTTCAAGCTTTTTATCAAGTGGCACTTCAGCCGAGAAGAAAGCAGCTTTGAAAGTTTGCAGATCATCTTGAATCTTGTCCTTGAGCTTTGAGCCAGCTGCAGGAGTGGAGTAATAACAGCCCTGAAGAAGAAGCTCAGCCAGACTCAGATTTGGTTAATGCCGCGCTGAGCCTCTGATCTCTGCCGTCTCTCAGAGAACCCAACAGCACAAGGGCTTCCGACACATTTGCGGTGGAGCTGCTGGTTGAGGAAGGCGGAGCTGTGGTGCGCAGGTAAAAGTCCTTGCGTGCCATCCTGGACACCTTTACTTAGAAGGAACAGGCAGCATGTGATGGAGCCATCATTTGAGCTTTCGGTGGAGATTCTCAGTCATCCAGGTCATGGTTGTCCCCAAAAGTGCTTTTTCAAAAGGCAACTGGTCTTTGTTTTTCCGAGAAGAATTTTCACTTCTCATCCAAGGAGCTTCTTCCGCTCTGAAGAACTGAACTTTAAAGCATAGCTTTCTAAACTTTTTTTTTTTCACTACCCAATTCTCAGCGGTGCTGGGCATTTCACAGAGGAAAAAACCACAGGACAATATAAACAAAGAACAAATGATGACAAAAGCTGGGCAACAACTAGATAACAATGAAAACGCATTCACCCGACCCAGAAGCGGACTTAAACCAAAGGCCTGGGCGAGACGTTTCTGGATCTGTTTCTGGAATTGGTGCTCCTGTTCCCACTTAGACATCCGGGAAGGAAGAAGGAGGAAGACCCCGAGGCTGCTGGCTCTCCCAGCAAGCCGTGCTCTTACGGCAGCGTAGCCGCCTTTTCCGTATCGTCCCATTAAGGTACCAACCCTGCTTCTGTAGGAGAAGAACAGTTTCTTTCCAGCTGCCTTCCTGGCCTGCTGAGCAAGCCATTGCAATATACCAGGATTACTGTGAATTCTGATCTCTCTGTCCCTGCCCCTCTTCCTTTGGACCAGGGCCATCTTTACTAAAATGGTAGCTTTAGTTCCAGCACTTTCCAGCTGTAGCGGTTTGATTCAAAAATACCCCTGCAATTCCGACTCGGGGATATTTATGACTGGTTCCTTGGGAAATGGCGGAAGGGATTTTGGAACATTAAAGCGTGTCACGTTCCACATTGCATTTGGGGGCTTTTCATCTTCTTTTGTGGTTAAGCTAAGCTCCGGCAGAGGATCGAACTGTTCTGCAGTCTGCAGTGATTTGAGGCGTCCCACTCTTCCTTTTGTTCCCAAAGAAAACTTCCTATTTTCACATACCGTTGTGATAAAAGAAATTGATTTGTATCTCTGCATGAAACTCAGCCTTTTAAGTTGCAGCTCATTCCTGGCTGTGTTTTGATTGGTTGCTTCTTTTGGGATAAATTGTGCTGCAAAACTGATCTCCTGGGAAGGTCAAGAGTTGAAGCTTTTTGTGCTGGCGTGCCCTTCCACCTTTGCCCTTCCACCTTTGCCCTGGGAAATTGGAGCAGACTGGCCTCAGCCCTGTCACCCACCAGGAATCAAAGCCCGGCTGGACCGCTCCAAGGAGTGGAGGAGGAACACTAGCAGCCCCTTCTGTCTCCTTTAAGGGCAGGAACAGGATTCTCCTTACAGAGTTGTGAAAGTTGGCTGGCTCAGGAATTCTGGGAGTTGGTCCACAGGTCGTGGCTATGACTTTCCATCCCCATCAAGGCAGTTGTCCCCAAATCTTTTTCTGCAGTCTTGAGGTGAATATTGTATTAGTATTTTATCTTATTTTATTTTGCATCATTACAATGGTCTTTTACTGGGCATTTTTTAAGAGTATGTGACATCACCATCCCTTCCCAGGAAACCAAAAGGACGCGTGGTGTAATTAATGCTCATTATGTCTCGAGCTAAAAGGGGGAAAGATAAAAAGTTAATCATAAAAACAAAGCAGGACCCTGCTGGATTGGATCCCTGGCCTGTCAATCCCAGCAGCTTATTGTCTCAGTGACTCACCAACACCTGCCCAAGGAAGACCCCTGGTCTCCGGGCAGATGGCCTTCGGAGGCAGTTCCAGTACCATCAGAGTTAAAAGCTGCCGGTTCTTATGACTTCCATGAATTGGTCCAGCCTGGGTTTTGAAGCCAGCCAAGCTGGTAGCCAGCATCACATCTTGGGGTCATGAATCTGAAAGTTTGATTATGCATTTGTGTGGGAAGAAAAGTCGTAGAATCCTAGGGCTGGATCAAAGGTCTTCTATTCCAACCCCCTTCTTGAGCCATTCCGGTCAAGTGGCTGTCGAGTCTTCTCGTAAACCTCCAGTGATGGAGCATCCACCTCCCCAGGAGGCAAGCTGTCCCATGGATTAGCTGTTCTCACTGTCATAAAACTCCTCTTGCCTGTGCTGATCCTTCCAGGATTCTTTGTGCTTTGGGTGAGGGCTGGGTCTGCTCACAGCAGCCTCTGGCTGGGCTGGATCCCAACCCGCTGAGGGCCTGGGGTGCCCAGGTTCGCTTTCTGCAGCCAGAGGAATGGCCGGGCCCTTTTTAAGAGGAGCATCTTAGCTTGTGGCCCACAAAACCTGGTGGAAATTTTTCTTTAGGAATGCAGGCGTGTTTGTGTCATACGACACATGCTTACCCTCTTGCTGAGTACATGAGCCTCCGTGATGTGCATTTGGCTTGTCGGATGAACTGCTAGGCTTTTGAGCTGCTTGTCCGCAGAGCAGGTTGGAAAGGTAGAGAGAACCAGCAAGGCAATAATGCCTGATGGCCTCTTTGATTAGCAATGAAAGTCTAGATTCCTTTGGGTTTCCCTTCCACTCGTGCGTGGGCTGTCTTGCTGCTGCCGAAGCAGTTAAAGAGATCACACTAGATAGAAGTGACGTTGCCAAAATCGAAATATTTTTGCGCTCCTCAATTTCTCACTGTTGTTTCTTCCTTCTGTATCGTTTCCTGGTATAAACAAGCTACTTTATATAAACTAGGGGAACCCTCTTTGGACCCACGGTGCTGTCCAGGTTTTTTTCTAATGCTAATTTTACTTGTCCCGAGAAACCTAATTTTCTAAATCGCTGCATAATCTTTCTCCACCCTTGAGTTCAGCCCTGACAAAAATGGCGACGTGATTCACTGCTGCTCTTGTTTGAATCGCTGCCTGGTTTGGCTTGGCCGCCTTCCCTGTCTTGGTCAAGAGAGGCCTGCTGGCCCAGTTGGGCAAAGGGGGGGGGATGTTTTGCTGACAAAAGGACTGGTCGAACTGGATTGGCAAGGCACGCCGCAGAGTGCTGAGTCTCTGGATTGCAGCTGATCCCAGGAACGCCTTTGGGATCCTCAGGACTGGCATTTGGGCGAGATCAACTCAGACTCCCCAAGAGGAGGAAGCCACTAGATTCCTGTCCCCGGCTCTTTCTCCTTTGTCCCCTTTGGAGCTGGGCCATTTGCATGAAAACAGTTTCTCTGGGCAGCAGGGTAGATGAGGGAGGGAGAACGTGGGGACCAGAAGACCAGGTGGGGAGGGCGGTGGAGTAGCGGAGGAAGAGGAGGAAAATTCACATGCCCTGAGAATGGATGGTTGTCTGTCTGCCTGCCTGTGTGTGTGGGGGGGGGGGTTGGCTTTCTCTGGTGTTGCTGAGCTTGGAAAACAGGGTCATAAAGTTCAGCAGCCAAAGCCCCTCCAGCCAGGCTATCGAGCTTCCTTCCCCAGTTATCCCCCATTCTCAGTTCAGTCCAGCCATGCAGAGGAAGCTGGTGAGGCTGATGGAGTAACTGCCCTTTGCTGAGACCCCTGCATGCCGGATTAGGGAAGGCTGCTCAGCTGCGCCTTTCCTTGCCGTTTCGGAGGTTTGAATTGGCCTCTGACTGATTCCGCAGCCGAACCCCGTGTCGCCTAGCAGGGGTCTCTTGGTCAGTGGTTAACGGGAGGGACTGGCACCTTGAGCTCCTGGCAGGGCGGGAATATTGATCTCTCCTCCCGAAAGGGGATCTCCCACGCTCCCTATGAAGCCACCAACCTTTGGGGAGGGGGCTGCCTCATGGGACCAGGGGGTGGGGGAGGCTAGGCTCTGGAGCTGCTGATTCACAAGAAGATTTATTCCATTGACATTTTTTTTAAAAAAAAACCCTCTCTTTTCTAGGTCTGCTAGCCAACATCACCATGTTCACCAAAAAGAAGAAACGCATTGAGATCTCGGCCCCCTCCAACTTCGAGCACCGGGTCCACACGGGCTACGACCAGCAGGAGCAGAAGTTCACGGGGCTGCCCAGGCAATGGCAGGGCATCATCGAGGAGTCAGCCAAGCGGCCAAAGCCACTGGTGGATCCCGCATACATCACGGCCGTCCAGCCCGGCTCTCAGAAGGTTGGTGGCACCTGCTTTGCCCCCCCCCAGGGTTGCGACAGTGGGGACGGGCCAGTGCGCAGAGGAGGGGGGTTCTGTTTCAGATGAGCTCATGCAGCGCCCCAGAGGGGCTTTTTCAAGAGGCAACTGGCCTTTCTGAAGACGTTTCGCTTCTCATCCAGGAAGCTTCTTCCGTTCTGACCGAATGGTGGGGTTCCTGAGCTCCCCCACCCTTCACTCAGAACCAAAGGCGCTTCTTGCATGAGAAGCGAAACGTCTCCCAAGAGAAAAGACACAGAAAGGCCAGTTGCGTACCTTTGGGACAACCGTGACCTGGGTGACCGAGAATCTCCGCAGACATTCGGGGACGCAATCGGTTCAAGGCCGAGACTTAATTAGCTTTGCTCAGGGTGTCAATCTCACGTTGAACTGGGACCCAAAGGGACCAGAGCCACCGACCTTGAGTTCTTGCCACATCCTCTGAGAACTGAGAGCATAAACGAAATTTCTTTTGTGACTGAACTGCCACTTTGCTTCAGGCAGAGTTCCCGAGAAAGTGGATTCCGTTTTCACAAGCAATAAGATACGGTCTTCCGTGCAGCAGATGTGTGCTTCTCCAGGCTCTGCATCTTTTCAGAACATGCACTGCAGCTCTGAGGCTGGACATGTTGGGAATGCCCAACTGCCAGGATCCGGATCTTGGCCCAGCAGCCAGGCCAGGGGGCCCCGGAGACCAAGGCAGCGGCTGTTCAGAGGCAGGCTGGCTCTTGGCTCAGGCTGGGGAAGCGGGAATTCCTCCTTTGCGCTGAATTAGGGGGCAGGGAAGGCGAGCCGGCCGGGACGGATCCTGAAAGCAAAGTTGAGGATCAGGCCGAGGTGAAACTGCCGAGTCCGTCAGGGCGGAGGGACTGCCGGTCGGCTTTCCTGGGGCGCACGAGGGAAGTCCTCGACTTACGACCACAGGCAGTCCTCGACGTACGACCACAACTGAGCCCAAAATTTCCTTGGCTAAGCAAAGTTGTTGAGTTTTGCTCCATTTTACGACCTTTCTTACTACAGTTGTTAAGTGAATCACTGCAGTTGTTAAGTTAGTAACACAGTGGTGAAGTGAATCTGGCTTCCCCTTGGACTTTGCTGGTCAGAAGGTTGCAAAAGATGATCCCGTGACCCCAGACAGAGCAACGGTCGTAAGTATGAACCAGTTGCCAAGTGCCTGCATTTTGATCACGTGACCAGGGGGGATCTTGCAGCGGTCATAAGTGTGAAAAATGGTCCCAATTCACTTTTTTCAGTGCCGTTGTAACTTTGAGTGGCCGCTAAAAGAATGGTTGTAAGTCGAGGACTATCTGTGCCCATCTCTCTGTTCTCCCCCAGATATCCCCCCTTTGCCAGGCTGGGTTTAGCCCCGTGGAGAGAGACCCCGGAACGGAAGGAGCCTGCCAAGGGAGGGCAGAGCATGGATGCAATCGGCTCAAGGGCTCCAGGGCTGGCCGGATAACGTTTGGGGCATCTCTGAGCGGAAGGAGTATCAGCTTTCGGGTTTCAGACGGCTTTGGGACCCAAACAGGAGCAAATGTATAATTTTGGGGAGAGAAATAGACCTCGGTTGCAGGCTTGATTGAAAAATAGGCATACTGTGTTTTGGAAACGGGCCAAATTGTTCCGACTCAAAAGGGTCAAATGTCCCCCCACTCGCCCCAGACCCCGCCTGGAATGGGGGCAGATCCTGCCCCTGAGGAAAGGAGGGGCCTTCGGAGTCTCAGCCTCCTTCTAGCGTGAACAAAGACTGACTCAACCGGGGCTTTTCCTGAGGAAAGCCCGGTGCCAGAAAATTGGGCAACAGTGGTTGTTCCGGTCCTGCCACCCCTCCCCCCCCATGTGGCGTCTCCTCTGTCCCAAAAGGAAGACTGTGGTGACAGGAAACCTTGGGACCCCAAAGGCCCAGCTCCAGAAGGCCCCCCTGCCTTGGTCCCAGCCCTTCCTCCCTCTTGATGCTCCGTTCCTTTGCTGGGTTTGGTGTAATGTGTCAAAACAGGGTCTGTGGAGAAATCAGGCTGGCTCTGCCCCACGGAGCCTTCTTCTGCAGGGCTTGGCTGTTTCTGTTGGCTGCAGGGTGCATTGTCCGGGAGGGCGAGGTAGCTGTGGTGGGGAGAGGTCTTCCCCACGAGGGCTGCAGCTGGGAGGGTCTCTTGGCCAGCTCACTTTCCACTTCGGAAATTGGAGCCGCAAATCGCACGTGGTTCACTGGCCGTTTCCAGGAGTCCCGCAGGAAATGCAGAATCATTGCTAGCAGCTGAAAGCGTCTCTCTTTCCCTGTTTGGTCTCTGTGGTTAAGTGGGGGAAGGAGGGGGGTCCTTCAGGGTCTCTTCAGTTTTAAAAAAACAATGGCCACAGATGGTTTTGCACAATATGCTGAAGAGGGAGGGAGACAGGAGCCACCACTGAGGTCAGCCTTCCTCCTTACACCACTCCTTGTGTGCATTTATTTTTGCCCAAAAGGTGATTACGCCTTCAGTTATTTTCCCTGGCCCCTATTTCTGGGGGGAGCAGCCTCTCTGTCCTTCCGGAGTGATGAGGGGTCTCCAAACTGGACATCTTTAAGACTTGTGGACTTCGACTCTCAGAATTCCTCAGCCAGCCAGGCTTAAAGTCTTGAAGTTGCCCCATCTGGAGACCCCCGTCCTAAAGCAAACTGGGAAGAAAATGAGGTAGAGACTTTCTCACCAGCTCAGTCGGTTCCCGGGTGTCTTTAATCATTAGGGAAGCATTTGAGGGCAGCCTGCCTCACCTGAGACGGAGAGAGCAGGAAATGCCTGATTTGGCAGGTTCTTTCTTCTGAAGTGTTTTAGAGATCAAATCCATTTTAGATCGGGAGCATCTTCCTTGCTTGTGGTGTAATCAGAAGACTCGGCCTCCCCACTTAGAGTTGTCTGGGATTCCCAGGCTGAGTAACTTGGTTTTTGCTGGTTGAAATTTGGGGAGTTACTGGGTGATCTGAGGGGGGGGAAGGTTGGTGTAAGGCTGCCTTTCAGACATTGCCTTCCAAATCCAGCACTCCTGGCATTCATCATTTCAGCACTGACATATTTTTCAAAAAGTGTCTCAGCGTGGATGGTGTGTAGTCACAGGAGAAAGGGAGAGAACAGCTCTGTGAAGGTCCCATTTCTTCTCCTCCCATGTGCAAGTCCTCCTTCCCTTGTTCTCCCCACCAGGCCTGCCGCTGGGCGCTTCTTGTGCCAAAGCTGGAATTGTCTTGGGCCATCGTCAAGCATTCATCAAGCATCTTATTTTGTTTTTATGTTGCTTACCTTATCTTCTTTTCTGTTTGTGTATCCTCTTCTCCCCCCTCCCCCCCATAACTGCCTGGTCCATGTTCCATTCCATGCGCGTAAGACCATCGTGCGCGGAAACAAAACTTCCAAGGACGGTTCCCTGGCCTGGCTGCTAGATGAGTTTGAGAACATGTCGGTGTCACGCTCCAACTCGCTGCGTAGGGACAGCCCTCCTTTCCCGGCTCGGCATGACCAGTTTTACCAGGAGAACGGTCTGGGAGAGGCGCTGGGCAGGCCCCGCCACCACCTGCACCAGCACCCTCCCCTCACGGAGGACGACGGTGGGGGCAGCAAGAGCAGAGAGCCCAAGGAGCGGAACCGCCACGGGCCCAGGAACGACGTGGACTCGAGCAGGGAAAGGGGCTGGGACAACAGGACTGCCGCCCCACACTCCCGTGGGCATGAACCTCACCACAAGCCGCACCCGCAGTCCGGCCATCCCCGGCCTCCTGAGCACCCGAAGCCCTTGCCGGAACACAGTCACCGAGCGCCTGAGCGGGACAGGAAGAGGGAGCCCCCCGCCGAGCGCGTGGTCAAGAGGGAGCGGACGGAGGGGCCCGACAAGAGACCCAAGTCCACCTACACTGGTGAGGCCAGCCCACAGTCCCCCCGGGAAAAACGGCCCCTCTCCGGGCCCAATATCCGGACCCCGAATATCCCCGTCTCGGAAGGGGTGATGAAGACCGCACAGCAGACCGGACGGCCTTTTAACACCTACCCCCGCGCAGACACCGATCTTGTCCGTGGCACTCAGGTAAAACCTCTCAGGGCATCGTAGAGCTTGGGGCCCTTGTGGGACTGGCCAGCCTGGATCGATCCACTGGAGGTGCCGTTCTCGCGACGTCTGAGTCCGTCCACCTTCTCAGCATAGCCTAGCTGGCTGACCGAGTGGTAAAGCCTGAGCCCCTCCTCTGCCTCAGGAGGACCAGCCTGGCAGCCAGCGCAGAGCTTGCTCCTCCTTCATGCTCCGTTCTGCACCTGTTCTGGATTCTCTTCTCACCTTCCTCTGCCCAGTAGTTCTCCCTTGCCTTCTGCCTTCCATCAGCTGCAGCCGGGGCTTCCTACCTGCCTGCCTCGCCTTTTCCGGGTGCTCTCCTTCCTCGCTTCCACTAACCGGTCACTCCTGTGTTGTCCATCTTGTCGTCTGCCCTCTGCTTGGTCTCTTCTCCTCTACACGCAAATAACCGTCCGATGACACTCTCTTCTGTGTACCAACCTCTGTCTGTCTTCACAGAAACTCTGCAGCTGCATAACGACCTCTCGTATCATGGACGCCATCGAACTGCTTTCTCTTCTGCCTCTGCCACCCAACTCTTTCCTCTTCCTTTTCTTACAACAGGGCCAGAACTTAGACGTAAAGCTCAGTTTTCACGCAACCGGTGTGCCTGCCCTGGTTTCAGTCTTTCCCGCTGATCCATGCTCCTCGGCCCTCTCTCTTGCTGAACCTGGCTCTCTACGGGGGCTCCTTCTGCAGGAAGCTGAGAGGGGGGAGCACAGGGGCCTAATTCGGCCCTTGCTGTGGCTCCTCCTTTGGAAGGGCCCAACCCTCAGCTTAGCTAAATGGACTCCCCAGGTCCACTCCTCGACCTCTGTGCTGAAAAGGACATTTTTACAAAGGGCCTTTTTGGGAGACTCTGCTGACCCTGAGGGAAAGATAAGGCTGTAAGGGTGGGAGAATAAGCAGCACAGAGCTGAGCTATCCCCAGATCTCTTTGTGGCCATAAGAAGGGAACGTGCAGATGACCCTCTGGAGCAGAGGTCCCCAACCTTTGGGCACCAGGGGCCAGTTCCGTGGAGAGAGGTTTTTCCGTGGACTGGAGAGTGCGTGGTTTTGTGTGCTGCCTGCATCTCGCGGATGGGGCTTTGCTTGTTTGTGCGGATCGGTTGCTGGTCCACGGACCGGGGGTTGGGGACCCCTGCTCCAGAGCAGGGCTCGCCAACCTGGGCAACTTTACGACATATGCTGGCTAGGGAATTCTGGGAGTTGACACCCACAAGTCGTTCACGGATGTGAAGCCCACAAGTTGTAAAGTTGCCAAGGCTGGCGAGCCCTGCTCTGTAGACCTTATGCTTGCTAGTCGGGTCCACTTTTCTGAGGAGCGGCTTCTAGCACACTCACCTGGCCAAAGACGGCACCTGTGCTTTGCGAATGAGCAGGACCGAAAGAAGCCACGTCAGTCGAGACAAAACAAGGGATTAGTCCTGGGTTCCTTCTGCGTAAGGAGGAAAAGGCTTGTAGGCTGATCCTCCCTGTCTGTGAGGATAAAGACGGATCCAGTCCCAAGTCCCTGCACAGCGAAAGCACTGCTTTTTATGCTTGCAGTCACAATGGCTTCCCCTTCTCTCTCTAGGCAGAGCATCGGCCGGGGAAAGGCCCAGAAGCAGCCTCCAACGGACCCGTGAGCGGGAACAGCGGCCCCTCCAGGCCCCCCCCTTCGGGCCCAACCCGATCCAGAAATCTGGAGCCATCGCCTCTGGGACTCTCCCAACACGCTTCGGACCCCCACTTGACCCACGTGCCGTCACTGCCAGCCCCCCAACCTCCGCAGCCCCCTCCCCAGCAGCCTGCGGCCCCCACTCCTCCGGCTCCTCAACAGCCCTGCTCCCCGCAGCGGGAGCCCCAGCGGGTCTCCCACGAACAGTTCCGAGCTGCCTTGCAGATGGTGGTTGATCCCGGAGACCCCAGGACCTACCTGGACAACTTCATCAAGATCGGCGAGGGCTCCACGGGCATCGTCTGCATCGCCACCGTCAAGAGCTCCGGGAAGCTGGTGGCGGTCAAGAAGATGGACCTGCGCAAGCAGCAGAGGCGGGAGCTGCTCTTCAACGAGGTGAATGGAATTGAATTGACCCAAAGGTGCTTTTCCAAAAGGCAACTGGACCTTCTGTGTTTCTCCTCTTGAAGTCGTTCCACTTCTCGTCCAAGAAGCTTCTTCAGTTCTGACTGAATGGTGTGGAACCCATTAAGCCAAAAATGGTGAAAACCTCCCCGTTCAATCAGAACTGAAGAACCTTCTTGGATTAGAAGCGAAAGGTCTTCAAGGAAAAAGCCAAGAAAGTCCAATTGCCTCTTGGAAAAGCACCTCTGGGACAGCCGTGGCTTGGATGACAGAGACTCTCCAGAGACATGGATTCAGTTGAATGAAATACTGTTTGGCCAAGGGTGGTTAGACACACAAAGAAGCTCTCGGTGTACCTGCAAAGCAACAGACTCATCGTAATCATAATAACGGTACCAGTGAAGGGAGCAATAGGAGGACCTGCCCTTTGCCTGCCCGGCTCTGCCTCTTGAGCTGTGCTGGGCAAACCCTGCGGCCCTCCTGGGCTCACCTGCCTGAGGTCACCAGCCTCTCTCTGCCCCCCCCCCTTCCCACAGAAAGCGGCTCCTTCCGACCTGCCTTTCCCCCTCCCCCCACACAGGTGGTGATCATGAGGGACTACCAGCACGAGAACGTGGTGGAGATGTACAACAGCTACCTGGTGGGTGACGAGCTCTGGGTGGTCATGGAGTTCCTGGAGGGCGGCGCTTTGACCGACATCGTCACGCACACCAGGTAAGGGACCCCGGAGGAGGGCGGGCTGCTCCCCTCCCTTTGGAGAGAGGCGCCACAGGGGCTCCATGGGACTCTGGGCCTGGCAGGTGGCCTGGCTGCCACTCCGGGACTCGGCCGCTTCCTTCCCGTCCAAGAAGCGGATTCTTCTTCCCTCCGAAGGAGAAGTGGCCACCAGGAGTGTTCTAATACAGACGAGTCCTCGACTTACAACGGCTCATTTAGTGACTGTGGCACTTATGTGACTTCTGTCTGTTTTTCACATTTATGACCATTGCAGCACCTCCCCCCCCCAAAAAAAAATGGTCATGCAATTCACACAATCAAAATTCAGATGCTTGGCAGCTGCAAGATCCTGGGATCACGTGATCCGCTTTTGAGACCTTCCAACAAGCAGAGCCAACGGGGGAAGCCAGATTCACTTAACAACTGTCTTCTAAGTTGACAAGTGTGGCAATTCACTTAACAACTGTGGCAAGAAAGGGCATAAAATGGGGCAAAACTCACTCAACCACTCTCTCACTTAGCAACGAAAACCTTGGGCTGCATTGTGGCTGTAAGTCGAGGACTGCCTGTATATTAATCCAGGGGGACAAAATGTGTATGTGTGTTGTTGTTTTAATGCACCTTTTTTAAAGTCTTGTTTGTGTTGTGTTTTTTTTTTGTTTGTTTCTTTAACGAACACTGTTGGCATTTTGCATTTTAACTTTTTTTTTTTGAATAAAAGAAAAATAGAAAGAAAAGAAGGGTAAGTGCCGTGTTTTCTTCTGCTTGAAGGATGAACGAGGAGCAGATCGCGGCCGTCTGCCTCTCGGTGCTGAAGGCCCTTTCCGTGCTGCACGCGCAGGGCGTCATCCACCGGGACATCAAGAGCGACTCCATCCTGCTCACCCACGACGGACGGGTGAGCTGCCCAACCCCAGGCCTCCGCCTCCTAGAAAGCCCGAAGGATCAGCCCGCCCTCTCCCTCTTCCATGGCTTTTTGCTCCCCAAACCAGCTGGCGTTTTAGTGGCCCAAATTCTCTAAAAGCTGCATGCAAATCCTAGGGAGAAAATCCCAGGCTCTCTAGTACACACACACACACACACACACACACACACACACACACCCTGCAAGACCACTTCAGTAGTCCTTGGAGAGTCTTTGAGAATCCAACCTTCGGCAACTTCAGCTCCCAGAACTCCTTTGGCAGCTGGCAACTTTATGACTTGTGGGCACACACACACAATAGTACTGGGGGGGGGGACTTTCTGAAGCCCTGGGAAGCAGCCGTGGGACAGCTCTGCAGAGCCCCCCCCCCCTGACGGCCTCCTCCCCTCCCGCCCTTCCTTCAGGTCAAGCTCTCCGACTTCGGATTCTGTGCACAAGTCAACAAAGAGGTGCCGAGGCGCAAGTCGCTGGTGGGGACCCCTTACTGGATGGCCCCGGAGCTCATCTCTCGGCTGCCCTATGGGCCGGAGGTGGGTGAGGTGGGGAAGGCCTGGCAGGTCTCCTCCTCTGCGGGAGAGTTTTGTGTGTGGGGCGGGGGGGGGGCCTTGGAGACAGTGCTGTAGTAGCTAAGCTAGGTGGAGCTCAGGTGTCCGTTGGTAGAGGGCAGCCCCAGAGACCGCAAAGTTTCCCTCCCAAACCCTGAAGCTTTAGATAAATGGGATGCTCCTGGATGGCTGCCCTCCTTCGGGCTCCCCCCTCACTGGAGCCTTGGTCAGTGGTGGGTGGATGAGACGGACCTTCCGATAAGAGGGTCCTGCACCCTGGAAGATCCATCTGAAAAAGAAGACTATTGCTGCTGGAGAGAGAGAGAGAAGAGAGCCCCCCCCTCCGCCACGCCTGGACACTGCAGTTGATGAGAGGATTCCAGGGAAAAGAGGAAAGGAGCAGATCAGAGGGGTGCAGGGGCCGCTCCTCCCTCAACCCCTCCCTGCCCTTCCGCTCTTCCAGGTGGACATCTGGTCCCTGGGGGTGATGGTGATCGAGATGGTGGACGGGGAGCCTCCCTATTTCAATGAGCCCCCTCTGAAGGCCATGAAGATGATCCGGGACAACCTGCCCCCCAAACTTAAGAATCTGCACAAGGTGAGCCCCCTCGCCTGCTCTCTGCCTCACCCAGCCGGGCAAGAGGGCGGCTTCTGGGGGGTTCCAAGTTCCCCCTTCCCCCTCCCTCCCCCCCCCAGATTGCCGTGTCCTGCCATTTTTGGCTCGGGGGCATCATCGCAGGGCAGCTTCTGCTGCCCGTTGTTCAGGCCAGGGGTGGTGATTCCGCTGTCCTCGGCCACTGATGGCCCCAGCCCCCTCTTCATCGGCCTGGCCTGGGCTGTGGCCCTCCTGCTGGGTGGCAGGGAAGCGCCTCCTTCATAAACGGAGGTGAGATTCACCTGCCGGTTCAGGGTGGGCAACTGCGGTGACTTCACGGCCTCTGGACTTCGACTCCCAGAATTCCTGAGCTGGCATAACTGGCTGCCCGCTGCCTGCCCCTGTGCCAGCTGGTTTCTAGGTCAGGACCTGGTAGGACTACCAGGTCCAGGGCTTCTTTGGCCCAGGATGAGCAGAGAACGTGGGTCCGTCCGGTGATGGGGAAGGGGCTCCCTTGAGGCTCCGCAAGGCCCCCCTCCCTCTTCCAGCTGTGGCTCATGCTGTTCCGCTCTTTCTTCCCCGGCAGGTCTCCCCTTCCTTGAAGGGCTTCCTGGACCGCTTGCTGGTCAGAGACCCAGCCCAAAGAGCCACGGCCAGCGAGCTCCTGAAGCACCCCTTTGTCGGCAAAGCCGGCCCCCCCTCCTGCATCGTGCCCCTGATGCGGCAGAACCGGATGAGATGAGCGAGCCGGACTCCTTCGCGAAGAGAGAGAGCCATCTTCCCCAGCCAGCCCCGCGAAGCCGCTGGAGACCTGCGCACGAGGAGGGGGCTCTGGGACCCCACCGAGCCCTGCTTCCGGGGGGGGGGTGTCCCCCCAGTTGGTGTGGGCAGGAGGAGTTCAGCAAGCAGTCGGGACCCTTCCTTGAGGACTCCTCTTGGTCAACCGATGACGCGGCCCCCAAGTGGACCCTGCGGGCCCATCTGTAGCAGGGCTGCTCTGCGTCCCCCTATTGTACTACTGAACTGAGGAGGGGCTTTGTCTGGGGTGGGGGGGGTGAAAAAAGGCGGCAACGTTTCTCTTGCTTGTCTCCTGAATCCTGGGCTGCCCGCGGCTGTTCGGCACTGCAGAAATGTTTCCTTCTCTCTCAGTGGAGCCCAGAGAAAGGGGGCCCTTGGCCAAAGGCACCCCCAGGGGAGGGGGAAGCCCCCCAGGCAGAAACCCATAAGCCCCGCTCACCTCCTTCAGAGAGGAGGGAGAGCAGAGCCACCGGCTGGGCCCAGAGGCAGGAGACTCCCTTGCGCCCCTGAAGGAAGGCGCTGCAATACTTTAGGGGCTCCCAGGTAGGGAGACGTGGCTCCAGAGGGCCCTGGCGGTTGGGTCTGGGGCTCCCGCTGGTTGGGAGGGGCCATCCACGGGGCCCAGAACCAGGCTTGTCCCGGAGGCCCAGAGGCTCAGCGGGGGGGGGGGCTGGTGCTGCAGAGTGGCATTCGGGGCCAGGGGTGCTCTTAGGGGAGGGGCAGGAAAAGACCGCCCAGCAAGCCCCACCCTTTCCCCCATAGCGTGCCCAAGAGCGCAAGGCAAGGGGCTTCGGCAGTGCCCCTGATCTCCAAAGGCTGGTGTGAGTTCTGGCCCCCAAAGACCCGGGAGGGCGCTGGCTGCTCTCTTGCAGCCTTGCAGCATCCCTTGCGAGACCCCCTGGAGCCCCCCTCCTCCTCTGCTTTGCCCTGCCCCAGTTCCCTTGCCCACTCTCGCCCGCCCTTCCAGGCCCTCCTCTCCCTGTCTTGCAAAACCGGCTGCGGCAGGGACGTTCATGGGAGGCGGGACTCCTTCCGGCCTGGATCTGAAGTGGGGAGGCGGTGGGGGTCCTTTGAGGCGGGTGTCTCCACAGGTCCGCCCTCCCTCGGCTCAGATGCCCAGGATATCGGGTGCTGCAGGCTGGGCCTTTGCCCTGCTGCCCCTTCAGAAACCCTCCCCCCAGCACTCCCAGTCCTCTGTCTTGCCGTGTTTTTACGAAGTGGGTTCGGCCTGCTGCATGCTTCCTCTTCAGCTAAGAGCAGCCTGCCCCAAGAGATTGCCAGTTGCGTGTGTGCATGTGTGGGATGCGTGTGTGTGTTCCACTTCTCCAACCAGTGTACCTCTGGAGCCAGCTGGTGGGTCGAGAAAGGCTCCTCTGGGCCCTCGGGGTGGGCTGACTCCTGCCTGACTCCTTCCCCACCTGGGGTCTTTGCTGACTTCTGGGGTCTCTTCCTCTCTCTCCTCCATCCTCTGGCAGGGGGGCTCCGATCAGCCCCCCCAGGGAGTTGAAGAGTGTTAAATGGGTCTTTGGTGCTAGCCTTCCTGAGTTACCTTGGATTCCTCCTTCATCTCTGGGGAGGGGGGTCAGCCTCCCCACCTCTTTCCTCTCAGTATTCCACATCTGGGGGGGGGGCTCGGCTACCCCCCTTTCACGCCAGTCGCTCCCTTTCCTCTGCTTGGGATAGCCGGTTGATGCCTTTACTTCAGGAATCCTCTTTTTACCTGCAGTTTTCTTTCGGACAGCCTGGCACCTCAAGGACGCAAGGATTATTTCACTTTTCCTGTGGGGAAAAAGACTTAAAATCTCAGTTGAAGCTGCCAGGCCAAGGAGGGGGGGATTCCTGGGGTGATAATCCTCCTCCTCCTCCTGCTTCCACACCCCTCCGTGCCACAACACTACATTTCCCCCCCCCCCTTCTCTGAAATAAAGGACTGGAATTTTAAGCTGGAGGTCGGGAGGACCTGGCTTCAAACGCCCCCCACCCTCCCCGTCTCCTGGTTGCTTGAAGAATTTTATAACTGGAGGCCTCGACCAGAAATGTTTTTCCCTCTAAAAGAATGACTACTAATTCATTTTGTGGGTTTTGTTACTTTTTTAAAGAAATTATTTATATTGGGTTTTATTTTCTTTTTTCTCCCCCCCCCCACTTTGGTAACTCAACGGTATTTGTGTTGAAATGATTTTTTTTAATTGCTTCGGAAAAAAAAACCCTGTTTAATTCTAGTAAGTTTTAACCACGAATGGTCTTGTATAAAGAGTCTGGATTTTGTGTCAAAGTGGTGCTTGTGAACCTTTCTTCCCTAAAATACAACGTTAAGTTTGGGGCGAGATGGTCCACCTTTAATAGTTAAAGAAGGGCACCATGCTATTTCCTTTATGTTTAATTCCCTCATTTTTAAAAAAACTTGCTGGGACGTTTAAGAAAAAGCTACAGAAGAAGCAAAATCACGGGGTTCATATCTACCTAGAAGGAATTCCTTCCATGATTTAAATTTTTGGCATCTACAGTATAAACATAGATGGGGGAAAAAAATTGATAGGAGGGCATCGTGGGGTGTCCTACACGGGCTTGGCCTGAGCAAGCCATCTTCTGATTCAATATCCCCACAAGCCGAGAAGAAAAAAGCTTGAATCTGGGCTTTTAACCAAACGCAGTTCATGTGAAGCATTTATGGAGGAAAGAATCCAGTGACTGTTTCAAAGGAAAGGGAGCTGCACCTGCTGGATGTTCTTGTGCAGCTCCAGATTGGAAGGACTCCCAAATGTCTCCCTGTAGATGAAGGATAAGTTGCCCAAGCACCAAGGTCCATCCTGAAGCCCTTGCTCTGGCTCGGGCCTGAGGAAATGGCACTTGCTGGTCCCCCCCCCCCGCTCTTTGAGGGCCAAGTGATGGGATATCACGGGATGGTCGGGTTCTTTAGCCAAAATGCAATTGTAGTGAGTTTGATTTGGGGTACCTACTTCTGTCTTTGTAACCTTGCCTTCCCTGAACCTTGAGGGGCAAAATCTGCATTCGTCCCAGGTCTGATTTGACCCTTTTTCTGTTCAGCAAACCTTCTGGGTGAGTTCTGCTGAACGAAGCACCTTTTATTGAGCATCGCTGGGCTCAGTAAAGCGGCACCTTCCAGGGCAGGGAGATGATCCTGGCTTCCTCCAAGTGCCTGCCGGTGGTGGATTCAGGAATTCCCCCCCCCCCGGGGGAGGGGGGGGAAGAGACCTGCTCCAGGCATTTTGTCATTGTGTCTCTTGTCGGGCCTGCCAGCTTTGGGGTGGAGGAGGAACACTGTAATTTTCCTAATTAATTGGCAATCGTAATCCTTGCATGTTTACAAAGTCATTCTGCGTCTCTTAGGCCTCCCCCCCCCATCACTGCTAATTAGCGCGGTGCTTTCTGGCTGTTTTCCTCTGGGACGGGGAGAAAATCCCCCTTTTCTCTGAGAGAAAATGTCCCCAGTGGTTCTCTGCTCGAAAGGGAGGCCAGTTGAATGCAGAGGGGCTTCCTCTCCCCTATGAAAGGGCCCCACCCTTCCTGCTATTGTGCACAGCCAGCCAGTTTGGCCAGGGGGCCATTGGGAGCTTCCCCCATTTCAAACGGGGGGCCTCTGGCAAGAGAAGGACCCTCTGACACTCCAGGGTCTGCCTTTCTCGCTGCTGCAGGCGTGAAGGCTTGGCAGACGCCAGCAAGGCCACTTACGCAGCTTCAATGGCCGGCATATAATATCCCCAGTGCGCTGATGGTGTTACCTTGTAGGGTAATGAAACATCTTCAAGTAAAGGGAACTCGGAGAACACCTAAGCAATGTTAGTTCAATGGGGTGCCTTTTGCCTGGACTACCTCACAAGACTGATAGCATGCTTCTAGGTGGGTGGTTGCAAGACGGGGGTGTCTTTGGTTGGGGGGGAGCCTAAGGGAGTGAATCACCCTAAAAAAACCCGCCAAGGATCAATCTGCTTGATGCTGCTTAAAAGTGGAGGCAAAAGATGATTTTATTTACATTGTGATCATATTTGGAAGGCCCCACATTCTGCCTCAAGTTCCAGGAAGAAAGAGGGCTGGGTGCCATTGGACCCATTCAGGCAGACCCAGCTAGCCACAAGACCCCCCCAAGACCCTCCCTCCACCTACAGTTTGGTGCTCTTGGCAGTACCTGCATCCCCCCCCGTTACCTACTCTGTGAGACCCGGTGGGGCTGATGGTTCAGCCTAGGGCAACCAGCAGGCTCACCCCCTTGAGCTGAGGTGTTCGCTGCAGCACGTGGTAGAAAAACGGCAGCCAATTTGTGAACTTGGCATATAACCAGCCACTGTGCCCAAGACACCTGCTTCCTAGTAATGAGTTGAGAATTGCAATCTGGAATCCCTCCCCCCAAATTTATGGCCTTTTACTGTGCAAGCTGTGTGTGTGTGTTTTAGTGCTCATGTCTTGAGGGGGCAGATGGAAATGGTTGGTGATCCCTCACTTTGGTTGAGCCGGCTGTGATTACAGAGCAAAGTGAGGAATTCTACCTACACTTGGGGGGGGGTCTACAGCCTTTTCTCTCCTCCCAAAAATTTGGAGGAAGGGGCAACTGAACCCCATTTCTTGGTGGGCACACCTGCATTCTTGCCCATGGTTGCCCAAAGCCCTTTCCAGTGAATTGGGGACTCCCAGAAGTCAGACTGATCACCCCCCAACGTCTGCTGACCTTGAGTGGCAAAAACACCAGACACATTTTTGAGAATCAGCTGCTTTGCTTTTAATGAGGTTTCCGAGGTGCAACCGTAAAGGCTGAGCTGAGGCGGGAGGGCCACCTGCTCCGGGAGGGTCTTGGGAAGAGAGCGCCCGGGAGGGAGGAGAGCGAAGGGCTGCGTGGAAGAGCTTGAGGCATCCGCTGGAACAAATCTTTCTCGCCAGGTGACAGACCTGGCAGGGCTCAAAGTGGACGACCAGGAGTTCCTTAGCCGATCAAAGGCACGTGCTGCTGCCATTATGGGGGCCGCGAGAGGGGGGGAAATCACCTTCTGGTTCTGTTTTCCGGCCGCCTCAGGATGCTCAGCTCAGGGGAGGCCCAGGCCCGTTTGGGGCTGCAAGTTCTTCTGCCTCATGCTGGCTGGCCAAGATCTTCAGCTGAGCTGCGGGTGTTCCTAGGGAGGCGGGCAGAAGGGGAGATGTGGGGAGATGGCGTCCACAGCTTTTGGACCCTCAGATGTGGGGGGGCTCTGCAGGTCACCTGAGCGAGGATGGGCAGGACGGTGGCAGCTCCCTTCCTGGCTCGTGCCAAGCCGACTCAGTTGCACTTGCAGTAGTAAGCGGAGATGGCGTTGTCCCAGTTGCCAAAGAGGCCCCTCTTGAATTCCTGGAGGCGTGGATATGCTCCGGTTTTGAACTTCCGCGTGCTGCCACCCTTGCCCTTCTTGTACCAGACGGTCAGCTCGCAGCGCTGGCCCACCACCAGCGAGGAGATCTGGTTGTTGAAAGCTGTGGGCATGTACGGCTGGTCTTCACCTGCCACGGCCATCAGGATGCTCCCGCCGCAGCAGAGGTCGTAGTAGGGGCTGTCGTCCGTGTACATCTGGGAACAGACCTTGGTGCCGTTCGGGTGTGGGTTCGTGAGCTGGCTGGGGAGCGGGCACTGGGCCTGGCTGATGGCAACAAGCAGCGGAAGGAGGAGGGCGCTGAGCAAAGCCTTCATCTTGGCCAGAGTGTCCAGTCCTCAGGCCAGAAGGCGGCTTTATAGAACTGTGCCCCTCTGTGCACAAGGTCGGCCTGTGGAACATGGGCCCAGCTCCAAGGTCGCCGCAGGGAACAGGCCAGCTGGGGGCCCAGTTTCAAAGGCAGCCTTGGCAACTCAAGGAGATCCGCCAGGTGCCAAGGCCCATCTCGGGCCAACCTGGCAGTTGGCTCTGCAGCCCCTCATGGGCCCGGCTGAGAGGCTAAACCGAGATCTACCAAAGCTGGCCTCCCTTAGGGAGGGGGATCTGAGGGTCCCCCTGCAGCTGGACCCTTCCTCCTTTACGGACCTGGATCGCGTGAAGGGCTACCGGCTGCCCTCTCCCTGCAGAGCTGGCCCCAGGGAGGAACTTTATCCCCTCCAGGGCCCAATCTCATCTTCCCAGCTGGGAACACCCCCCCCCCTCAGCTGCTGACTCTCCCAGGGCCCAGCTGCGGCTTTCCCTCGGCAGAGGGACCCACCCCCTTCAGCGTCCTCCCCCCATCCCATTTGGAAGCTCACGGGGGAGTGGGGGGGGAGAGCGGTCACTTGCAATCCCAATTCTCGGGGGCTTCTTCTGCAGTAACGCAGCTCCGCTCCACAAGCTCTGGGTGGCAGAGGAGGGGGCGGGGGGGCTTGCATGGCTAAGTCTGCAGCCTCGCCATCCCAGCGGCCGCCCCTTTGCCCCGCATCTGCCGCTCCCCCCCGGACCCGAGCCAAGGGCCACCTTGGCAAAGCCGGCTCCAGGGGGAAGCCCCTCCCGTCCCCCCAGGCGCCTCGGGTGGGGGCTTCTCGCGAGGGGCTCGGCTCAGAATTTGCCGCGGGGAACATCCTGCGAGGGGCCGGGCTGGGTTTCCAGGAAGCCCCGGGGCTCTCGAGAGTGGGGAGCGGTGAAGGGGGCCGGATCCGCTCGGGGGCTTTGGGCAACACCGAATGGGGCTCTGGCCAGGGATGATGGGCGGTGTAGTCCGAAGCAGCGCGCCAGAAGGGAAGGCCACCTTCTTGGTGCAAACTGCTGAACGTCAGGAGGTACGCGAGGCTGGGGAAGAAAAGCGAGACTTCTTCGCCACTAAGAGAAAAAAAAAAGCGAGAAAAAGCAGAAATCGACCCAAAAGAAAAAGCAAATTAACCAAAATGCTCGGAACGGTCAGTTACGGGAGGAGGGGCGGAACTGGGTCCCCACCTCGCCCCGCCTTTCTTCATCGCGATTGGTTTACGGTCCTTTCTTCCAACGGTGTTTGCTCCGCCTCTTTTTACATCATTTTTCATCACAGCCTCCCGCCCTCGCCTTTCCTAATATACATGCGGAGCCCAGAATGCTTTGCGGCCACCGATTCCGGAAAATACCCGGGGAGAAGCGGATAATTTCTCCCAAAAATGTCACAGAAGGAGACGCGCATCTAAAACGCTGTCGAGATGCTTCTCTTAGTTCCTCAAGTCATGTCTGAGCAGGCTCACTCTCACGTGAGAAAGTGTCTAGCAGGAGGGCGGCTGTGCCGGCAACGTTTTTTCTGTAGCTTTGCGCAGTGGCAGTATCGTAGCCAATGAGGTTTATCCGAGGCGCGATTATTGCTAATTGAAAACTTTTCCCAATACCCCGCCATGACGACTTGAAATATAGTCGGCAATGGCAATTTTTGACGGTCTCTACGGAGACTGAATATTCTTGGTTTCTAAAAGTAGGAAAGAGCGACGCTTGGGATCTACGTCCTTCTGAGGCGACAGCGGACGACGGCGAACGGCTCCTCTGTCTTTCGACGATCCTCGTGTTCTTTACTTGGAACCCGGTCAAGAACTTCGTAACAGAAGCGAACGGCTGGAGCTCCGTTCCTAAGCTTCCTTTGAACCCGGATGATGAGTTCAGCTTGGCACTTGGGAAATGGCCTTGTGGCTTTCAACTCCCAGAATTCCTCAGCTGGTTTTAGTCACCCTCACTGGTCTTAGAGAGTGAGGAGAGGGGAATAGAACAGAGCTGTGAGGTCCTTGGTGCTCTATGAGGTTGGTTGTTGCCACAGTTCATTACCAAACTAAGTAACGTCATCAGTGTTAGGTTAACACTTCATTCTCTAGCACTGATGTTACCTACTTTGGTAATGAAACGTCTGCAAGAAAACCATCAAGACCATAGAGCAGGGGTCCCCAACCCCCAGTTCATGGACCGCTCTGGGGCTGCAGAATGCCAGCAACTGGTCCGCACAAACAGCCCCATCCGCAGGATGCAGGCAGCACACAAAACCACGTACTCTCTGGTCCACAGAAAAACCTTTCTCCATGAAACCGGTCTCTGGTGCCTGAAAGATTGGGGACCTCTTCTATAGAGCACCAAGGACCCTACAGTCCTCCTCTTCCTCCCCCCCACCACTTCCTTCTAGCACTGATGATGTTCCCTAGGGCAGGGATCCTCAACCTTGGCAACTTTAAGATTTGTGAACTTCAACTCCCAGAATTTCTTTGCTGGCTGAGGAATTCTGGGAGTTGAAGTTCACAAGTCTTAAAGTTGCCAAGGTTGAGGATCCCTGCCCTAGTAGTTGGGTCATGGAACATCTGCAGGAAACCCAGCTCAGAGAGCACTAAGGACCCCACAGTTCACCATTGAGCTACAAATATTTTCTTCTATTGATAGGAACAGTAGACATGTTTATCTTATTTACTATATTTGTGACCCACTTGTGGGCACAGAGGGGGGGCATTGGGCAAAGAAAACATGCCCCCCATGGCTGGTTGTAGTTTGGCATTACAGATGTAGAAGTTTATAAATGTTGAACTTGCTTTGCAAGTGGGGAAGCTAATAGATATTTTTGTTTGTTTCTGACAAGCTTCGGTTACTCCATTGAAAGCACCTGCTCAGTAAGGCAGAGTCACAAATTACTTTTATTGCCAAGAACAGAAAAACACGACAGGTTCGCAGGGCTGCACAAAATGGAAGCAACCTGCAGGAGTGCTGGAGAAAGCTTTAATGGTTCCCCCCCCCCAATATTTTGTTCAGGATAACCTGGGTGATTTGCAGAATGTTTTTCCCTCTCCCGAGGGCTGTCTCGCCAAACACAGCATTGTATCCAGTCTGCTTTTGTTCTGCTTCAATCCTGGCTGGGTGTTTTACTGTTGTCCTGGCCTTGAGCCGTGATGAGAGCGTTGGAGCGAGCAAAGCAGCAGGAAGGGAAAGGGCTGTTGGATCTGCAGTCTGTGAACTGCTTGGTTGCTGTTGGGCACAAATGTTTCTCACCCTGCTTTAAAGTCCAAAAGGTTTGGGAGCAGCTTGCAAGAGAGAAATGGTGACTTCCATGTGTTAAAACAAAAAAATAGCAGCTGGTGTCCTCTGGAGCGGATTGGATAGCTCAGGGTTTCTCGGTCTTGGCAGATTGAAGATGGGTGGACTTCAACTCCCAGGATTCCCCAACCAAGCCCATCTTCAAGTTGATTAGCATGCTGCTGGGGAATTCTGGGAGTTGAAGTCCACCCATCTTCAAGCTTCCATGGGTGAGGAACATTGGAACAAGTCAATTTTTCTACTTATCCTTTCATCAGAGTCTAAGAAGCCTCTTTGGTACTTTCACTTCTTAGCTTGTGGTGATACTGAAAGGGAAAAGGCAGGGAAGCCATTGAACCGAAAGCTAGTGCAGCAGTGCAAGGACTCTTGAAACCATGCTGCTCGCCTCTCCTACCGAGCCTCCGTAGCCTTCAAAGGGCAGGTAGATCCAGGAGTACGGAATTCTTTATTTCCACAGGGGGAAATAAAGAACCCCTGGCCAAAAATAAACCGCAGTGCAAATCCCATAACACGGATTTTTGTCTGACGTGAAAAAAGGAAGGACTATTTTTAAAAGACTGTCTACCACATGGGAAGCGTTTTTTTAAAAGTATGTGCTAAAACAGATCAGAGGATGGCAGAAAATATTCTCTCTCTCTCTCTCTCTCTCTCTCTCTCTCTGGAGTAAGTCCTGTTGAATACAAGAAGTCCTCAACTTACACCAGTTCTTATTGACACCTGTTCATACTTATGACAGGTTGCTGTATCCCAGGGTCACGTGATCCCCTTTTGCGACCTTCTGACAAGCAAAGTCAATGCGGAAATCCAGATTCACTTAATAACCAGGTGACTAATTTAAGAACTGCAGTGATTCCCAACAAATGTGGTGGGAAAAGTCATAAAATGAGGCCAAACTCACTTAACAAATGTTTCACTTAACAACTTATGTTTTGGGATTAATTGTGGTCATAAGTCGAAGAGCACCTGTATTTTGCACTTCTCTTTGGGTGGGTCTGAGGCTGTTTCCTTTGTTGCTTCTCCTGTGGTAAGGAGACGCATCCCCAAATCCTATGTGGGGCTCAGAACCCCAATCCCTCCCCGCTCCCCCCCTTCAGCTTTCTCCCCTATTCGCCTAACCCTGAGTATTTTGACAGCAGATGGGAAGACTTAATTTATTTAAATGAAAAAAGTGAAGGTGTTTAATTGAATTACATATATGTGTGGGGGAGGGGAATGAAATTACTAATCCTATCAACGCATCATTAGCTCCTGGGTGATTAAAGTTGACATTAAGTTAAAATAATTCTCGACAGCCTTTGCTTGCAGGCAGAATTTGCAGCTGTTGGGCAGAAACGAAGCCAGGTAATGATGCCAGATCCGTGGGGGGCGGAATTTCGTGGCTTTTTGGCGGAAAGACAACCCTTTGCCAAGAAATTCCTAGAGGGACGGCGAGCAGAGAGCCACGGATGGATGCCACGAGTGGATTGAAAGTGAGCCAGTTGAACCTGTAACACTCCCAGAGAGCCCCCTTCCCAGTGGCGGGCGGCTGCTCCAGGCCTGGCAGGCAAGCTGCTTTCCTTTCCTTCCTTCCTTCCTTCCTTCCTTCCTTCCTTCCTTCCTTCCTTCCTTCCTTCCTTCCTTCCTTCCTTCCTTCCTTCCTTCCTTCCTTCTTTCCTCCCTCCCTCCCTCTCTCCCTCCCTCTTTCCCTCCCTCCCTCCCATGATCGTTTTAAGACAGTCTAAAAAAACAACAAGATAGATGCTAATTCTGTTGGCAAGGTATAAAATTTAATAAATAGGATTGGATATATAAAAATAACAAATAACAGATAAATTATCATTTCAACAGTAGCATACAGTCATTTTCTTTGGACCATCAGCCAAATTCTTATCACCTCATACTTTGTAAGGAAATGATGGCTTGTCTTGTGAAACCAAATTAAGGGTACAGGGTTAACAATATTTTAAATCTTTTTGGTGCCAGAGTGGAAAGCTTTCTCTCTTTCAAGGCTGCTGCCTTGTACCAAATGCTCATTGCTGGCTGCTTCCTGGCCTTCTGCTTCTGGAGAGCAATTCTCTTTTAAGTGGGCTTCTCAGCCAAAGCTGCCCCTTCGAATTACCTTGATGCTGAGGGGTCCTCTCCAGCTGCTGAGATCTCCAGAATAATCCCCTTCACACGGCTGGCGCTTCCAACAGAGGTCAGCCTTGCTTGTGAGCTGAGCTCACTTACAGATCCCTTTTGAAATTGTTTTGAAATTATAACCATTCTGGGCAGAAGGGGAGGCATGTATAAATAATATCCTTATTTCATGAATACCACTCACTTTAAATAATAGGTCTCCCCCCCTGCTTCCCTCCCACCCCAAACGTGTTAATTTCAGATCCAGGAAGATTAAAATAAATTACATAAATATAGCAGCCCTTTTCCAACACTGGCCTATCACAGTTTTGCAAAGGCACCGCAAGAGGATGCCTGGATGCACAGAAGATTCGCCAGGAACCTCCCGCACCAGGTGGTGAGCCTTGCATGCTTGGAAAAAGGCAGCATTTAGCCAGACGTGGCTCTTTGGGGCAAGTAGAAGGACATAAATAAGACAAGTAATCCCTGAAAAGCCTGCTTGGGAATCCAAAGCTCTGCTCTGGATCATTTTGAGGTTAAGACTTCCTCCACCCTGGTGCCCTTCAGAGGCGTGGGACAAGAGCTCCCATCATCCCCGAGGCCTCTGCAGGTCACCGTGCTGAGGAAAGCGTGCGGCATACAGAACAGTCTGTGGCTCCCCTGATCCTGGTTCTTCGGAAGGCAATTGGGCAGGACAGAAATGTCATTTGCGGAGGAGTCGGTGTGGTTTCCGGCTGCTTTTCTGATCTGGGGAGCCTTTGCTGGGCACAGCTGGCGGGCACAACGGCATCTGCAGGATCTAGCCTAGGCGGGTGGTGACCCGGAAGTGATGGTGGTGGCGGAAGTGGTGCTGGAGCTGGGCAATGTCCTCTTCCAGGAGACGCACAATGTTGAGGCCGACCGCTGCCTCCAGACACTTCGGCGATTGCTGGAAGGAAGGAAACGAGCAGAGCTAACAAACTGTCTGCGCCCAAATGCTGAGTGACTCTCTGCCTTCAGATATGGAGGCTCTACAGGTAGCAAATCTGTAAAGGTGCCCAACCCACTTCAGAATTTAAGGTGATTGAATAAATTTGCTAGAGGCGCCCATTTCATTAGACCAGCAGTCTCCGGACTTGGCAACTTTAAGACTTGTGGACTTCAACGCCCAGAATTCCCTAACCAGGATGCCTGGACCTCAAGTCCCACAATTCATGCTGGCTGAGGAATTTTGGACGTTGAAGGCCACAAGTCTTAAAGTTGCCAAGTCCGGAGACTCTGCATTAGGCCGCTGGTTTTCAAACTTGAGCACTTTAAGATGTGTGGACTTCCAATCCCAGAATTCCCCAGCCACATGAAATGTGGAAGTGGAAGTCCACACATCCTGGCTGAGAAATTCTGGGTGTCCACAAATCTTAAAAGTTACCAAGTTTGAAAGACACTGGATTAGACTGTGGGAGACTGAAAAAAATCCAGAAAACAGTAAAGGTAATTAAATCCACCTAGGCAGGTAATCTGGACTGAAACAGCCAAAACAACAAACCACAGACAAAGAATAGGGCCCTCGCAGGTACCCCAGCAATTACCTTCACCAGAGCCCAGGTAGTTGATTGCTGGCCCAGAAAACAAGCTGACTGCCAAAGTATCTTACTAATGAACTAATACAGGTAGGCGTTTAAGAGGGTGCACCAAGCTCAGTTCTGCCCTTCCTCGCCTGCCCAGCTGAGAAAGGATGCTCCGAGGCAGTCGGGCACCTGCATGGCTCACCTGGACGCTGCTGGCGTTGAATTTCTGGATCGCTTCCTGGAACTGCTGGAGGTGGCTGGACTTCTGCTCGTGGGGAGGTTTGTGCCTGATCTGAAGGAAAGAGGGAGGGGGTGAGCCAGGGCTGTCTTTCCCTCCAGACCCCCCCCCCATGTGGGAGGGGAGGGGGAGAGGTCTCTCTCGGCAGGGCTGCACTTACACAGGGGGCCAGAGCGACCTTGAGCGGCTGCAGGAACTCCAAAATCTTGGAGGCGAGTTTGGAGAAGGCCGGCTCACTCAGGTTCTGCAAGACAGGCATGACCAGGGCCAGCTCCGTTTCCACGGCCTCCAGCTTTTCCCATTTCTACCAAAAAAGATGATACTCTTATTATTTGGGAATACAGGTAGTCCTTGACTTATGACCACAATTGAGCCCAAACTTTTTGTTGCTAAGTGAGACAAGAAAACAAGCAAGCTCAGAGAGCACCCTCATGCCCAAACCACACAATTCCAAATCTTTGGGAGGCAACAAAAATCTTAATTTTTTTTTTACACTTGGGCTATGGACCAAAGAGATCCACAGAGAATGTCCTCCCCGTGCCATCCTTTGCTGGCGCCTGGGCTGGGGGTCGGGCTGCCCCGATGCCATCCTTTGCTGGCGCCTGTGCCCGGGGTGCCCGCCTCTTTCCCCCTGCTCGGCTGGCTGGTGTCTGGGCTGCCCCAGGTCACTTACGCTTCTCAAGTGGTGCATTTTCCCTCGGGGGAAGCGGAGATGGTGGCGGGTGCAGTTTTTCCAGGGTTCGCCCCCTTTGAACCTCTCGTCCTCCTGGAATTGGGAAGAAGGGTGAAAACGTCCGAAAGAGGGAAGAGGCTGCAGGGCTGCCCTGGAAGCTCCCAGCCTGGGGGGGGGGGCGTTGGGGGGGGTCGCCTGGTTGGCAGGCCTTCTCTGTCTGGCCTCGGCCGAGCTGCCCTGGCTGGTGGGGCTGCTGCCCAGGAGGCTCGCGAGGCCAGCCAGGGCACAGGCTCTGGGCTATCTATCTATCTATCTATCTATCTATCTATCTATCTATCTATCTATCTATCTATCTATCTATCTAATCTCTCTCCTATCATCTATTAGCAATCTAATCTAATAATCTATCTTTGTGCCCAGCGTTATCTCTACACCCAGAGTTACCCTGTGGTAAGATGGGTGGATAATACATTTTATAAATAAATAAAAGTAAACCACCTTCAGTGATTGACTGTCAACGGCCAGAGCTGGGAGGGTCTCCCCAACTGTCTGTCCCTCGGGGTCCATTCCTCTCGGGGCTCTATGGGGGCTCTGTCCAGGGTCTTCTCCCCCAACCTCTCCCAAAAGCTTCCAGCTTTCTCAACCCTGAATCCCCCCATCCTCCCCAGTCCGAAGATGTCCCTCAACTGCAGCTCCAGAGGACGACTTACGTATCGGTTCCTCAGTTGCCTAAAGGCGTCCGAATGCTCTGGAATTTGGGGGAAATGGCAGGATCTGACTGGCAGGCTCTGGACCCAGGGGACTTCCAGCAGGATCACGAGGGCCAAAGGAATCAGCAGCCTCTTCCAGGGACCTGAAGCAGAGAGGCGGTTAGAGGACAGGCAGCTCACTTCTCCGTCGCCAGACCTCTCCGTGCTACTCAAACTCCTGGGCCTGTTTGTCGCCTTCAACGGCGCAAAACAGAACATCTCAGGGCATCAGTTCTTGAACCAGGATACCTCAAGTGGGCCAACCTACAGAAGGCATCCGAACTCCGGGACCCTCGGCTGCCACAGTATTGGAATCGGGCAAAATTGTGGCCGATTCAGGGCTGATGCACCATCGTGCCGTCACCATCCTCTCCAAGGCTCCCTGCCAGATTCCCGCAAGTCCAAGGCCAGCAAGCAGGTAAGTGGCTGCTACTCGGTGGGGGAGGGATTGAGGTGTGTGCGAGAGAGGTGCATTGGGGGGCAGGGAGGGGCTTGGGGTGCATGGGAGGTGTGGCAAGGTCAGGGAGCACATGCCAGGATGGGGGTCAGGGCTACGAGGTGTGAGGTACAAGGGGAATATTGCAAGGGTTGGGGGGACTGTGCAGGGTGCATGAATTATAGGTCAGGTAGTACCCCCAAAAAGATGACTCGCTAATCCAGGGTCTTTTAAATCTTTGGAAAAAGCTCTGAAGGGGGCTGGCTCAGGAATTCTGGGAACTGAAATCCACAGGTTGTAAAGGGGCCATAGTTGCCCATGCTTGTTTTAGAAGGACTGATGGATGCTGATAACCCTTTTTTTAATGAATGGGAGGAGGAACTTTCTGGAAGTTTCCCTTCCATCAGACAGGTGTTTGGAAGGAAGTGATGCCAATACAAATTCTGAGCCTGTGCCAATTTTCAAATGCTACAATCGTCCTTCACGTTGTTAGAAGATGCTAATAATGCCACAGGGCTGCTTGTTGATTGCATAAAATGCTGAAATTAATTCTAACATCTAAATGAAGCCTCCAGGTTCATCAGTAGTCTACCTTCAGTACTAAACCTACAAGGAGAGGCAACCACAGGGTTTTACAACCCCTTGGAAGCTTTCTGTTCGGTAGGGCTTTTTATCCACCCCTCTCCTCCTGCGAATGCTCGACATTCAGACAAATTTGCCATGGGTGGAGAAACAGACTTGAGCCACGTTCATAATTATCATTCAAAAGAGACAATGAAGAGGCTAAGAAGGAAACAAAAAGACCAGAACGTGTCCTCTCTAGCAGTGAAAACCCCAATAAGCAGGGATTAACTCTGGAGAAACCATCAGGTGGAAAACAATACTTTGATCCAAGAAGAAAACCACCCCCACCAGCCCTGTCAGGAGGAACTACTAAACGTAAAGAGGGAGCAAGTCTCCTGCTCCTCAGACTGGTGATGTTACCTAGTTGGGTAATGAAGCAATTGCAAAAAAAATCCCCCCAAGGTCAGGAAGCACCGAGGACTCCGCAGATCAGCCGGGAGCTACAGAGATTCTCGGCCAAGAGCCATTTGTCACCACTTAGGGCTTCAGTTATTTCTCTGTAAGTACATTTGCATTGGGAAGTTGAGTAATTGGCCAATTAGACTGCCTGACCCAGGAGGACCTGGGGGGGGGCTGCAGGGAAGGGTCCCTGGGAGGTGGCAGGATCGGAATGTCTGCCCTCCCTCAGGTCCCGAATCCCCCTGCAGGATCATCTGCCTAATTTTGATTGTTTATTACGCAGGAGAGAAACAATTGTTTCCTTGTGCTCCCAGGTGCTGGAGTGTCCAAAGAGTTTTAACCCCAAAGTCAAGTCTCCTTGGGCAGGCTTATGGGAGTTGTAGTTGAACGCATCTGGAAGACACCAGCTTGGAAAAGGACGCTTCGTTCAAATGAAAAGCGGTTCTTGTGAAGAGCGGATAAATAAACCCTAATTTAAAGAGTTACACACTGTTCTTACTAAGCTTATTAAGCGAGTTTTGGATCTCTAGAATTCCCAGTGCTACCCACTCTTGGCTGCAGAAAGAGAGGGAAGAATTTCCTGCCATTTCTGGGGCCCTTCGGCCAACGGCACGGCTGGCCCTCTCTGGCCGCTGGAGGGTCACGTCCAGTTGGCCGGGGCTCCGGCCTTGCCGAGTGTGTTCCAAGCACGGATGTCCAAGCCAAGGAAGGAGCAGGCTCTGGGACCCACCAAACCTCAACATGGCCTCCTTGAGCCTCTGCACAACCCAAAGATCTGAAGTCCACGACTTCCTCAGGCCCACCTCCACCTTCCCCAGACCTCCAAGAATTTGCGCCCACCGCACCGCCCTGGCTGCAAAGGGGACCTCCGGAAAGCGGCTGCGGACTCACCTGCCCCTAAGGATGAGCTCCTGTGGCGAAGGGAGAAGGTTTCTGTGCTCAGGTCCATGCTTCTCTCGTCGGGTGGCCAAAAGCTCAGCTAAGAAAACCTGAGCCTGTCCTGGGCCTTCCATGCCTCCCCTTCTTATAGCGCCCATCTTTTTTCAGTTTTCAGTTGGATACTGAAAGTAAGCCGGTCCCGCAGGTGACGTTTGGAAAGCAAGTCGGAGAAAATGAAAGTGAGCAATCTGGATGGGGTTCCCAGGTGAGGTCATAGCTGGAGGAAGCCCTTTCGTTTTACAGAAGGCGGAGCCAACAGGAGGTGTGCCAGGTATGCAAGACGGCCCTGGCATTTCTGCCCTTCTCTTCGCAAAAGTTTGAAACTCCGGAGCCAGTTCGAGCAAGGCTGATGAAACTTCAGGCAAGCTGAGGAGGGGGAGGATTGGACCTTGGCCAGCGGTGGAGGCCGCCCAGCACGGAGGCCCCTTGCCCGCCCACTCTCCAGGCCAGGCTTCCAGGCTTGGGGTCCAGCTTCCAGCCCTGGTGGAGAGGGAAGCAAGAATCAATCAATCAATCCGAATAGAGCTGGAAGGGACCTCAAAGGTCTTGTAGTCCAACCCCCTGCTCAAGCAGAAGACCCTATTCCATTTGAGATAGATGGTTGTCCAGTCTCTTCTTAAAAAACTTCAGTGAGGAAGCACCCAGAACTTCTAGAGCAAGTAGTTCCATTGGTTAATTATCCTCACTGTTAGGAAGTTTCTCCTTAATTCCAGGTTGCTTCTCTCCTTGATTAGTTTCCATCCGTTGTTTCTGTCCTGTCTTCTGGTGGACTTCAGGGAACGTCTTCCAGGTCCTCTGCGGGCCAGCAAGCCCCCTGCCTTCTGCTCCCCCTGACCCAAGCAGTAAAACAGAACATAATCACAGAGCTGGAAGGAACCTTGGAGGTCTTCTAGCCTAGTTCTATTGCTTGGATTGGGGGGAAACATTTTAAAGGCCCAGCACCCTCAGGAGAACAGGTTGGTCATTGGGGGCCTTCAGAGAACGTGGGAAGAAGCAGCCCAGCTGCTCCTGCGCTGCCCACTTGGGGGTTAGACTAGCTGTCCCTTGGGCTCCCCACACCCTTCCAGTCTTTCCCAGTGGGCAAGGACTGGTTGGTGCTCCCCTTCTTCACTCTGACGCCATTCCTGTTCTTCAGGGATTGTTTTGAGAAGAAAGGTATGGCTGTAATGGGGAGGGGGGATTTTGCTGTAGCAGTTCACACCTTCCTTGGGAGTTCATAATGGGGGGGAGGAGCCACTGGGGGGGGTCTGGTCTCTGGGCTGAGGTGATAAGCTTGTCCATCCTCTGGTGGGGAGATCGGCTTCCAGGGTGCCCTCCTGCAGTTTCGGGAGGTGGGTTGAGGGCCAAATTCTTGAGGAGGGGGGCAGAATGGCCCCGAAGAAGCATTAGTGATGTAATGTGACAGAGGTGATGTAACAGAGGTGTCCAACCTTGGGAACTGTAAGACTCGTGGACTTCAACTTCCAGAATTCCCCAGCCAGCAAAGCTGGTGAAACTTCAGGCAAGCTGAGGAGGGGGAGCAAAGCTGGCTGGGAAATTCTGGGAGTTGAAGTCCACGAGTCTTACAGTTCCCAAGGTTGCAAAATGTGATCATCTCCACATAATTTACTGCCTGTTGCTCTTTCCTCCAAAGGAGCCCAGCAAATACCTGGGTGAAGGGCTGAGCCCCACCTTCCTCCTCCTCCTGTTTCCAGGATTCCTCAGGAAGGGAGACTCTGTGATCCACAAAGTGATCTCGAAAGGATTCCGGCATGCCCTTTGGATGTACCCCCCCCAACAAGGCACCCAACCAACCAATCGGCAAGGGTCCCATTAGCCTCACCTGTTGGGGCATGGAGGTAAGGCAAGGCGGGCTCCTTCCGGCCTGCACCACAAGGGAGGGAATTAATGGATTCCGGACTTCTATTTTAAGCCGAGGATGGACAGTTGCCCATCCAGGGGGCAGCACTGGCACCTTCCCAGGGTGGCGGCCTGGATCGCCATTAAGGATCTTTCCAGCTGTCCTTCTTTAAGCGCACGGAGCATCCAGTAAACGGGCACTGGTGGGATCCATCAAGACGGGACAAAAAGCAAGTGATCTGTAATGATCTTTTAGGTAATCCTCAACTTACGCCCTCAGCTGAGCCCAAAAATTCTGTTGCTAAGTGAAACATTTTGTTAGGTGAGTTTTTTATGACCGCTGCAGGATCCCGGGGTCATGTGATCAGTTTCTATGAGCTTCTGACAAGCAAAGTCAGTGGGGAAACCAGGTTCACATAACAACTTAACGGCTGCCATGATTCACTTAACAATTGTGGCAAGAGAGGTCGTAAAGTGGGGCAAAACTGTGGGCAGGGGGCCAGTTGTTGGATCAGTGCCCCCCCCCGGCCGATTTAGACACCCCTGTGGCCAGTGCCCCCCCCCCTTCCAGGTGCCTTTCGACAACCATTTTGAGATTGGTTGCCTGGCGTTCCCAGCCCGGCTGCCTCCGCCTCTCCCTTCCAGGGCAAACCTCTTAGGGATGCCCACCACGGATTCACTCAGCCCCCCCTCCCCCCCAGGATTAAGCCCAGCGGTTGATCTGCTAGTGCCGTCCCTCCCTAAGCAGTATCGATCCTGGAGCTGTTTGCAGGGAAAGCGGAGACACAGAGAGCAGGCTGACCTGATCTCAGCTGAAGGAGAAAAAGCAGAGAGAAAAAATCCAGCTTTATTTCTACTCAGCAGAATTGCCTCTCCCGGCCTCTGGCCAGCGGTTTTCAGTTCAGCCACATCTGGACATGGCTGGACATTTGATTCCCTTTGGGAAATGAGCAGTTGCGACGTATAGGTGGTCCTCGACTAAGGACCGCAATAGAATCCAAAATTTCTGTGGCTGAG